GGCTTGCTAGCATATATGCTCGAGCAACACAGAATCGCTGAAGTAAATGTTCAAACTGCATAATGTAGAAAAAAAAATGGTACGGTACACTGGGTAAGTACTGTTCAGTTGTATTTAACTTATATTTTGTCGAACTGACAGACAGATATATTGTACAGGGACGCCTCTACAGTACAGTGTTAGAGAATGTACGACTGTGATTATTGTTATATTAAATGGGGCTGCACCACTGGTGTTCAAATGTCAGTTGCTTAAAGGATTGTATACATTTCCCATTATGTATTAGCATTAGCGTTAAGCTAGCAGACTAAAAGCGAAGCCATGGGTTGTTACACAATGTGCAATAGTTTTGTGTTTAGTTTGACAGTAAATGTCAACTGAGTGTGGCACTGAACTTCTTGAAGCCTCTTTTTTGAAGAATTGCTCTTTATTTGCCAAAGTGCTGCTTTTTGTGAGGCGAGTTGAATAGTTAAGCTAGCAGACTAAAAGTGAAGCCATGGGATTGTTTTAAATACACAATGTGCAATAGTTTTATGTTTAGTTTGACAGCAAACGTCAACTGAGTGTGGCACTGAACTCTTTTTTGAAAAATTGTTCTTTATTTGCCGAAGTGCTGCTTTTTGTGAGGCGAGTTGAATTCATCACCGCCAAATGGTGCTTGTATCTCAAATTTGCGCAAGTCACAGCAAAAAATCAGCGGAATGACTGCTTGTCTCTTGAGATACCCCTCGGTGTAAAAAGCACAACTTCAATTTTTGGGGTGCTCAAACTGTAATTTAAGTTGGAACAACTTTAAAATATAAATTATTAACATTCAGGCTGAACTTCTTGAAGCCTCTTTTTTGAAGAATTGCTCTTTATTTGCCAAAGTGCTGCTTTTTGTGAGGCGAGTTGAATTCACCACCACCAAATGGTGCTTGTATCTCAAATTTGCGCAGGTCACAGCAAAAAATCAGCGGAATGACTGCTCGTCTCTTGAGATACCACTCGGTGTAAAAAACACAACTTTTGGGGTGCTCAAACTGTAATTTAAGTCGGAACAACTTTAAAATATAAATTATTAACATTCAGGGCCACAATGTTTGTTCGAACAACAAAGCAAACAAGCTGTTTTCTCCCAAATAATTTGCTGAGTTGTTTTTCATAATATCTTTAAGTTGTGGGGGGAGGGGGGGACAATGAAAAGAACAATTAATTCTCCAAACTCTTATTTCTTTTTTGTAAAGTGTGGCAAAGCCAATTTTCACAACAGCAAAACTTAAACCATTTTGTTGAATCGCCCAACCAAAAATTTTCTTGAAGTTTGTTGCCTTGGAATTTTGAGTCAACCAACATTTTTTTTTCTTTTTTTACAGTGCTGTATTTGTGAACATTTTATTTAAGTTTACTGTGCACTGGCTAATGTTAATACCTATCCTCAATTATTTGCTGAAAAATGGAACTATGTTGAAGTGAGCAAAGAAGCTTCATTGACAAAATCTTGTCTGACAGAAAAAGATCTTCATCCCTCAGTTCAGAATGATCACTTCAACATGCTATGACTAAGTGTAAAATACACACATTAAGAAAAAAAGAGAGAGGGAGAGAGGAGATTTGTAAGCATGTATCAATGGGGAAAGTCTTTAATGTTGTGACCTTGGTGTCTGCCCTTGGACAATAGCTGACCTGCAAAATTAAAAATCAGCAAAGTGCATACAGAGAACATGTTCAACTCATTTACCATCCACTGAATGTTGATGTGTTCCTGCGCTACCACGTACATTATGCATCATGAGGCAATGCGCACAGAACAATAGGTGGGTTACATTTCATTTTAGCCAAGTGTGATTGTTCAATAAAGGTGTGTTCATTTCCTCTCTGGGTGATAAAAGACTGCCATCTCTTATCTAATACCATCACAACACCACAAGCCCCTGACTTTTAATATAAAAATGTTTGCTGAAAATTGGCCAGGTATGTAATTCTGGAATCGTGTTATGGCAGAGCTTTGTATGTCAAACAGATGATTTAAAAAGTCTACACACCCCTGTTCAAATGCTAGATAGTAATGATTTCATTTAGGTGTTTTTTTGCCTTTAGTTAGTCATTTGTAATAGTCATTTTAAATCTTTCCTCTTCTGCCACACAGATGACATGAATCTTGTCTCATATCTCTGTTTTCCGTCTTCGATGTGATGACACCATCAGACCGTCCTACCCTGTGTAACCAAATATTCCACACCCCCCAAAGAATCTTTTTTTAGATTTCAGGTCTTTGCTGCAGGTCATTTTGGAAGCGGCTTTGCGTGACTCATATTCTTAATGATGACAGATGACAAACACGTAGTAAAGGAGATTGAACCACGAGACATGAACAGGCATCAAGCCGCTTGTCATTAGCCGTCCTAAGTAATTGCATGACATTGATTGAAAGGAAGGCCATAACGACGGGACGGATTTTTTCATACGCAGAAAAGTGTCGCATTGTACAAGATGGGGCTCGAGGTGGGCACAGCAGGAGTCATGTTTTAACAATTCAAGTTGAAAGGAAGGAGAGGAAAAAAAATGCTTCTGTTCGTGCTCGATTCAGTTCCACACATAGAGGAGTGAATATGTGGGTTCCAGAATAGGGCTGAACAATTCATCGCATTGAAATCGAAGTTGGAATTAGTAGAATGCAAGTTTCAATTGCGAATGCTGAAGTTTGAGGGGAAAAAAAAAATGTAAACACTGTTGCAATTTGGTCGGGCGGTAGTTTATATGGCGTTCAAATTCTGTGCTCCAGAAATGCAGTAGACATGTTTTCATATCACTGTTTCGTGAAACATGAAAAAGGGGAAGTGATCAAGCCACGGATTTGTTTGCATTATTGTTGTAGTCTGACTTGCGGTTGACCGATTTATGTTTACGCCACACTTGCTTGGTAGAATTTCGTGAAGCTGTCATTTGTCAGTTTAGCAAAAATAAATAAAAACAAAATAATTCTGTATAATAAAACCGGTGTTGTTTTTCATAATACATATTAAGTTATTGCTTGTATTTGTGAAAAAATACATTGGAGGAGGACCTTGGAAAACGAATCACATATTAAACCGTAATCGCAATATTGAGGAGGAAAAAGAAACCCAATTAAATTATTTGTGTGTGTGTGTGTGTGTGTGTGTGTGTGTGTGTGTGTGTGTGTGTGTGTGCGTGCACCAATAAAAATAACTTAGTTTGCATGAAACATTTTTAAAGGGTTTTAAAGGGATTGCTGTGTGACTAAATAAATGCGGGATAAAGGCCTGCTTGATTTTGCTGATCAATAAAACCGATTTTTCATGTATTACTTGACTAATTTTCTAGCTAGAACTTTTACATGGTTGCGCGGTAGCAACCAGCGGGATTCATAGCACTCGACTGTGCTTAGTCAAGACGGACGGACTCATGCTTAACTCTGAAATTGGGATGTTGTTACCCATTTAAAATATTTTTTTTAATGATTCTCTGAATTCATGCAAGGTGAATGTTGTGAAACTCTCATTTTAAAATTGAATTGCGTCATTTCTTAGTTGGTATCAATATACTCATTTCGATTCCCGGCCAAACAGCGAATGTGTTTCTTGAGATTTTTTTTTTTGCTTTGAAATTGCAGAGGGATCAATTCAATGTTTAGTACCCACCAAAGATTCTTGAGCATTTTTATTTGCGTCCTTGTAGAACTGTTTTTTTGGAACCACGGTTGTCCTTTGCCTTGTGTTTTTCAACAGGGAATGCATTACAGAATCACATTTAGTGCAACTCTCTCGGTGCTATAAAAAGGAAATTTCTGTGAAAATAAAAGAAAGGTGACCAAAAAAAAAAACAATCAAGTAGTGGAAATAATTTTTAAAAATCCAAATCATCTTGAGTAAGCAAGCCATCCAAGGAACATTGCGTTCAACTGTCATTTTTGCACAGAACCATGCAAAGGGGGCCAGGGTGGGTTTTTGGGCGTTTTTTTTTTTTTTGTTTTGTCTCTCCCTTTTTCAATTTAGACCGTTTACACCAGCAGCCCTCAAGACATGCCATTATCTTGAGAGCACAGGGAGCTCTAATTAGTGGTGCTGAGGAACGTACACGACACGTTTCCGCTGTTATGTATGGGTATGCAACATTGAGCTAAAAGTGAACTCATTTTCATACAAGCACACATGAAACACACTTTCGCTCGCTCTCGGAACATTCTTCTCCCCCCCTATGGTGTTAGTACAAACAAAAATGGGAAAAAAGAAGGTTCTCAAAGTGAGGTTGCTCAATGGAGGCCGTGTTATGCATCATTTGAAGACGTTTTCTTTTGATGTTTTGGAGAGGAATGTATCTGAAAAGGGAATGCAATGCTGTCGTCGGACTGTTGACATTGTAAAAAAGCTCTGAAATTAGTAATTAAATAACCCTCTACTATTTATACATTCAGGCACTGAAAAATCACATGTCAGTATGTAACTAAAAAAGATAGTCACTCTCATTTTCCCTTGGTAAGAACAAGGAAGCTGAAACCTTGAAGTTGGCAATTGTGTAAATTTTTTTTCCTACCCAGTAGTAATGCCATAGCGTCCCCCCCCCCCTTGCTCCTCTTCACTTTAGTGCAGTCTCATACGCTGTCTCAGCGCGTTAGGTTCCCCCTCCCGACAGCGTTTGCCCTAACCTACGGTAAAGAATCCATGACACCAGTCCTTCAAAAGGGAAAAAAGTTTTGTCTCACCCTCGTCACCGAATACCAGCAGACGCCCTCCAACAGGGAGCCCGCGCTGATTCCCCACGCTGGTTAAGGACTCTCCGGTGTGATAGCCAGCTCTCACCCCAGTGACCCTGACCTCAGTCCATTTTTAAGGGCTTTTACAAAAAAGCTAACTTGAACAGCCATACAATGGCTAAAACATAAACCATATCTCTACTTTATCTCGGTTTATCAGTCTTTTTCTTTTGTTTCTTTTTTTTTTTCAGATGCATTTGTATTTTTTTCTGGATTTCTTTTTTTTTTTTGTTTGTTTTTTTTGGTGTGTTTTTTTTAGTTTTTTTTAACCCCCTCTGTTGGAGTTGCTCTGATCCAGTCCTGCACTGAAAGACTCGGGGAGGGAAATTGGTTTTGGGATTTGGTGGTAAGGGGAGCGGCATGTCAGGATATGAGCTCAACATCAGTCCAGCGACGGACTATTTGAGAGGGAGACGAATGAAGTGATGGGATGATAGAGAAAGGTGCTTCTTGGAGGTTATCCACTATCGGAGGAGGTGTGTGGTGCGGTGGACGGCGAGCGCCGCCTGCGCGTGGTGGACGTCCACGACCGCTCAGAGCGTTCGGAGCGCTCTGAGGCTAGCGATGCGGGCCGGAAGCGGTGAACAAAGCCGTCCAGGAAGTCCTGTTGCTGCTGGGTTATGGCTTGGGAGATGAGGCAGGGCAGCGCCTGCAGGCTGCCCGTCACCGAGTCCAGCTTGTCTTCCAATGTGCCGATTCGCTTGTCCAGCTCCTCACTGCGCTCCTGGAGTTCTGAAACCAGGTCGTACATCACATTCTGGGTCTACGTGGAGACAGACAGAAAAACCAGGTTTGGAGATTGAAGATTTCAAAAGGAAATGCAGTCAAGCACCATTGAGGCAAGAATACAACCATCTGTCCATTACTCGAGCCGCTTTACCCTCATGACAATCGCGGGCGCGCTGGAGCCTATCCCAGCCGTATTCGGGCAGCAGGCGGGGGACACCCTGAACTGGTTGCCAGCCAATCGCAGGGCAGTCACAGTCAAACAACTATTCTCGCTCACACCTAGAGACAATTTAGAGTGTTCCATCAACATGCCACTCATGTTTTTGGAATGTGGGAGGAAACCGGAGTACCCGGAAGAAACCCACGCAGGCGCGGAGTGAGCTTGCAAACTCCACAGAGGAAGGCCGGAGCCGGAATCGAACCTTGCACCTCTGCAATGTGAGACCGACGCGCTAACCAGTCGACCACCGGGCCGCCTCTTAAGTGATAATCATCCATAAATTATGAGTGTAGATGAAAGATTTTCATTCTAAAAGTGACACTGTGAGAGGAGAAGGAAATGTTTGCAGGGAGCGTGACAGAGAGAGAGAAGAGCGGTGCAGTTTTAGGGCAAGTCAGCAAAGATTTTATCTTACTGCCAATTTCACAGCCGCCTTCTCCATTTATAGCCCGAGATGCTCTTTAATGTCTCAAGTATTAGCTTCATGTTCCTTATTCATGTAATGAGAAGCTTTTCACAGTCAATGCGGGATCTGCCAATGCCAGCGCTTTTACATCTGGTGGTAGGATACACGTCCATTTGAAAACCAGAAAAAAGGGTCTATGTTTGACCATCACAGCAGGGGTTCTCAAAAAAAAGGAGCTTTTGGACGTGGAAGTGCACTTAAAAAAAAAAAAAAAAGATACGCCCGAGTAATTTAGCGCAAATTATTTTGTAGAACCCGTAAATTATGTCTCACGGACCCCCAGTTTGCATTGCAGCATTATTCTATGACAGCTTCAAAAGGAGACGCAGAATTTACGGCACAGTGCCCACAGATGGAATGCGATGGAGGAGCAGAGGAGGGGCGAGTAAACACACATTAAAGGAGGTGGCCCCGTGACCTTTTAAAACACACACTGGAGTGGAAATGCCAGCCACATGAAATGAGACTGCGGGATGGCACCTCCCTTTGAAGCGCGTCTCCACTCTGCTCTGCTGCCTCGCCTCACGTCTGCGCCAGGACAGAGGCTGCCGAGTCATGATGTGACCCAACCCCCACCCCTCTCCCCCGTCCCACACCCAATAACCCTTCTGTACGCCTTCCGGCATTAAGATGCCTTCTCTGTGCTCTCGAACGCGGAGGACATGGTCTCTGCCTTGCAGCTCGGATCGTACTCTGTCAGTTTGGATACCGTCGCCATTGTTGGATAGGCTCGATCCAAGTGCTTCAATCCTATCTAATGCCTATCTAATATCTGATTTGACTTATTGACATGTACACTCAAAGCAATTGTTGAGCAATCTAGAGCACCACTGATTGGTTGTGATCAGTCGGAGGTCAGTGTTTACGAGAATCATATCATGAACCGATTTGCGAGTTAAAAGAAGAGTTAAAATAGGGTAAAGTCCCTATCGCTGGTATTGGGTGTAAACAAAAATAAATAAAGTAAACTTTAAATAAAGTCAATGAAACTTGCCTTCGCCAGGTCCACCAAGGTGTTGGCCTGATCATTTAGTTTCCTCTGCTCCATCTTGACACTGCGCAGTCTGGGTGGAGACACAGGGAGGTGGAGTTGGGGGCGGGGGGGGGTGAAGAAAGTGGGTGACAAAAAGAGATGGGAAGATTCCAAAAAGAGTGGAAGGGAGCAGGTAGTTTGGGGTCATGAAAGGGCCAGTAGAAAAGAAAAAGAGGAGGAGGAACAACACATTTTGTTATCAGGAGCGTTCTCTTACTCGTGACATGGACTCGAAATTAAAAATGTCACTGCGCATGCATCATAATTTTCAGGCTTTCAACTTAATAATCATATATATATATATATATATATATATATTTCTAGATACATATATATGTATAGAAATTTCAAGCATTTCCTGGTCTTTGTCAATTCACTAGCAAACCAATGCATGCAAAATGACGGAAGCATATTACATTTGTGTCTCGTGTTTACGGCATCTTTTTGTAGTTCAAACAAGATGATGGAGCTTTTGCTTATGTCAGTGAAAATAGAGAGAGGGACAACACAGTAAGGTTGAGTACATTACTAGCATTGTTGTTCCATTCTAATAGCTGCAGGAAGCGTTAGCTAAGCTTGCCAACTCAGCATCAGATAACTCATGCGGCCGCCGCGGCGGCTAATGTCATGAATTCAATAAAGTGCGACTTACTTTGCGCAGTGGCAAATGAGAAAATAATGCGATTGCGAAATGAAAATCACATTTCAGCTTTATATGGACACACAAATCAACGCAACGTTTTACACGGGACATGCTAAGGTATTAACGCTCAACCCAAATGTACAGTCGGTCAATCGTGAAAGCTCTCCTCTGCGTTATTATTGTCGGACGTATTCGTCAGCGAGAATGCAATATGCTTCCATTCTTAGAGCACCCTTTGAATCTGTTTTGAAATCAAAACATTCTCATTGATTATCACCCAAAAGTAAGACATTAAAGAAAACGATGGCATGCCCAGTATCACTGCTACACCCAATCCAGTGCCAGGAATCAAACAAAAAAAGAAAAGAAATCAAACCATTGTTTTTCTGCGAGCGTGCAGTGATTGTGAGTGGTGTGTACACAATGAAATGTGTGCGTCTTTGTACATGATGTGTTTTATGTAGATGCCACAGATGGGGCCTGAAATGAGATGTCAAATGCCGTTACTTTGCTTTACATCCTGTACAGGCGCCAAGGTGTTGTCTTTGCTGAAGTACCCGACCACACTGTTATGGCTGACTTGAATGTGTCATTGTTGGCACCGGTGCCATTTAGCCGTCACCTGCATGTGTGGAGGGAGGATTTTTCTTTCTGTTCAGCAAAATATTGGACAAGATGGCATTCAGTGGCTTTTATTCATGTGCAAATCGTTTCACGGGAGACTCCGTACCGCTTGAATGGGTTTCTGCTCTTACGCTGTGAGGACAAACGTACAGCGGTGCCTTGAGATACGAGGGTCCCGACTTTTGAATTTTTGGAAATATAAGCCGGCATTCAGAATGTATTTATTTTTCCTCACTTGTGAACAGATATTTGTGGTGCGAGCGCTGCAAGGTGGCAGTGAACTCAACTAACCTCACAACAAGCAGCAGTGTGGCAATGAACATTTATTCATAAAAGAGCCTGAAGCTGCTTATCATTCCCAGTTCAAGTTTACTGTCAAAGTAAACATAAAACAAAGAGAAGTACACATGGTGTATTTAAAACAACCAGATAGCTTTGCCTTTGGAAAGTCCATTCAGCTTAAAGAAGAAGTCATGTCGAAAATTCTCTTTTCAATATGTTCAACGCATCCCCACTAGTATAAAAACCATATATAGTGATTATGATTGCATTTGTGAAATATGAGGGGCTGCCATTTTGCCACTTGCTGTTCACTGAAAAATGACATCACAGTACCAACGGGCTCAGCTCAGGTGGAAACTTTTTTTTTCTGAAACGCCATAGTGATAAAATGCAATGCATGGTAAAATCCAGATTGCATAAGGTTTTATAGGTCAAAAACAAAAAAACGAAAACCATCTCATAAACCTGATGTGCTACAAAAAAAGTAAAGACATTTTTTTTTTTTTTTAATCAGTGTCAAAAATATGCTTAGTGATGCATTAAGCCATCTCTGGTTAATATTTTCTCCTGGCAAGTGTTATTAGTGTTGTCAAGATACTAAAATCATGACTGGTAGTGTACCACCATAAAGTACCTCAAGACTGATACTCCAAAAATACTATGGCAAAAACTTAAACCCTCAGTAAAAGGAGCCATAGATGACAAAAAATGGATCGTAAGCTTCTAATTTTTTCTAATCATGAACCCTTTCGGGGACAGCGGTCACTCGAGCGGACAGCTTACCATGTTATCAGGTTACAGGGTGCATGCAAGGTTTAAAAATACATTAACATTGAAAGGGGGAAGATATTAAATGAAATATTTGTGCTGTATATATCTTATTTAGTTTCATGCCTCCTTATACTGTAGTATACTAGACTATATACAAGTTCGCTATCTGCCAAACTGTGCAGAGCTACCAGTACTAAAAATATGTGGTTTCATTTTTGACCGCGATGTATCGCAGTCATTTTGGAAATACCTCTATACTGTGCCACCCTATTGATTATTATTAATAATAATATATAGCTAGAGCAAATGTCAGCAAATGTGATCATTCGGAATTCTGTGCTAAACTGGTAACCTTTTGTTTTCATCAGTAAGTGTAGCTCACAGTTAAAAAAAAATAGTTTGGTGATTCCCGGGACAACATTTGACCCTTTAAAGCAGGGGTGTCAAACTCATATTTGGCATGGGCCACATTTTAGTTAGTGTTTCACTTGGAGGGCCGTTACGACTGAAACCATTTTAAGAAGTCAAGAATAACTGTTGATTTAACTATTGTTTAAGTTACTATCATGAGGGGTTTGGTAACATGAAAATGCTAAGAATATATCGCTTATGTATTACATATGAGAATCTAAAATTTTGGTAGACATTTTAGAAAGGCTTATGGAAGTTGACATGTTTGAGCTGCTTTCGCGGGCCACATAAAATGATGTGGTGGGCCAGATCTGGCCCCCGGGCCTTGCGTTTGACACCTGTGCTTTAAAGTGTGGTCAAATGAAAATTTTGACCATTTATATTTGGGGGGAGGGGGAAATTTGGGATTTGGAGCACAGAAAAAAAAACTGTCAACTAAAGTTAATCCTGGCAAGTGTGTGTGTGTGTGTGTGTGTGTGTGTGTGTGTGTGTGTGTGTGCGTGTGTGTGTGTGTGTGTGTGTGTATGCAAGTCACCAAATAATTAATGACTTTGAAAATAACAAAAGATTAGCCTTAAAACAACAGCAACCATTTCGACCTCATTCGAACGATATGTGCGCTCCTGTGTGCGCGTGTGTTCACATAAAGAAGTGGGCGTGCACAATGAGTTCTGTTGATGCAGGTTAATATAGCCTCCAGAGCAGCTATATTAATCATGGGCAAACATAGTGCAGGACGTTGGAGATGAAAATGAACCGCTAGCCAACAAAGCTCAAGCTCATTCTTGCAAGGTGTTTTTTTTTGGGACGGGGCGGGGTGGGGTTCTTCTTTTCTATTTTTTTTCCAGTTGTTTCTTTCACACACATGCCCCCCCCACCCCCGGGCAAGCCTCCGCTCTTGATACCAGTGGCAATAACGTGGACGCTCCTTTTTGGTTCACTCCATTCAAGAGAGCATGACAAAAGCGAGAGTGAAGTCAATGAAACACCAACTTCAAATGAAACCAAAAACAATTCCGGCGTCTTATTTTTGGTTTGGTTTCCCCATCTTATTTTGGCAACACACACTCTGTTCATGCATGTCAAAGGCAGACATGGAGGAGAGAGGAGGATGTCGAGGAGACAGAAGGAGGATACATTGAAGACTCAACTTACTTCTGAGCTCTGCGGTGATAGAGCAAAACAAAGACAGAACACAGTACAGTTTAAACCCCACGACATTCACCAAACGACTGATACCTTCACAATTCTCACTGTAACCACAAGGTCAAAGGGGGGTTGGCGGGAAGAGGGAACAGAGGAAGCGGGAAGGGGGTCGGGGGGT